ATTGATAAATATCTCAATGTGATCCTTCTTTATAGCTGAATAATACTCCATTGTATAGAAATACCACAACTTTTTTATCCATTCCTCAGTTGATGGACACTTGGGTTGTTTCCAAGATCTGGCGATTACAAATTGTGCTGCTATAAACATAGGTGCACATATATCACTGTGGTATGATGCTTTCAGTTCTTCTGGGAATATGCCTAGAAGTGGAATAGCTGGAATAAATGGGATTTCCAATCCCAACTTTTTGAGAAATCTCCAGACAGATCTCCACAAAGGCTGTACCAGTCTACACTCCCACCAGCAGTGCAGGAGAGTTCCTTTTTCCCCCTTTTCCCCACAGCCTCTCCAGCATTTGTTGATGGTTTTCTTGATCCTGACCATTCTTTCATGAGTGAGATGGTATCTCAGTGTGGTTTTAATTTGCATTTCTCTAATGACCAATGATGATGAGCATTTTTTCATGTATTTATTTGCCATTTGCATTTCTTCATCTGAGAATTGCGTATTCATCTCAGATGCCCATTTTTGGATTGGCTCTTTGAATTTCGGAGGTCTGAGTTTCTTTAATTCTTTATATGTTTTAGACAAGAGGCCCTTGTCTGAGAGAGAGTTCACTAAAATCTTTTCCCAGTTTGTGGGTTTTCTTTTCACTATGCTGGAGATTTCTTTTGACATGTAGAAACTTTTTAATAAGAAGTGGTCCCAGTTATTGATTCTGGGAAGTATTTCCCGTGCGGTTTGAGTCCTGTTCATGAATTTTCTACCTACTCCTATGTCTCCAAGGTTTCTACCCAATTTGTCTTCCAATAGATTTAGTGTTTCTGTTTTAATATTCAGATCTTTGACCCATTTAGATTTTAATTTAGTACATGGTGATAGACATGGGTCTAGCTTTAGTTTTTGGCAAATGGAGAGCCAGTTTTTCCAGCACCATTTATTAAAGAGACTGTCATTCTTCCAGTGAACCTGCTTGGCTCCTTTATCAAAGATAAGGTGGTTGAGTGTGTTTGTAGTTGTGGTTGTATCTTCTAATCTATTCCATTGATCTTCAGCTCTGTTTTGATTCCAATACCATGTTGATTTTACTACTGTTGCTTTGTAGTATAATTTCAAGTCAGGGATTGTGATGCCTTCTGCTTTGTCTTTGCTGCTTAGAATTGCCTTTGCGATTCTAGGTCTCTTCTGGTTCCAGATGAAATTTAGGAGTGATTTCTCTAGATCTATAAGGTATGTTGATGGTATTTCTATTGGGATTGCATTGAATCTGTATAACAGTTTTGGGAGAATGGCCATCTTCACAATGTTTGTTCTTCCTATCCATGAGCAAGGGATGTCTTTCCATTTTCTGAGATCATCTTTAATTTCCTTTTTCAGTGTATTATAGTTTTCACTGTATAAGTCTTTCACTTCTTTCGTAAGAGTAATTCCTAAATATTTCATTTTTTTGCTTGCTAATGTGAATAGTCCAGTTTCTCTTATTTCCCTCTCTGTGATTTTGTTGTTTGTGTATAGGAATGCTATTGATTTCTGAGTATTGATTTTGTATCCAGCCACATTACTGAATTTATTTATTGTATCTAAGAGTCTTTCAATGGAGTTTAGGGGATCTTCTATGTAGAGTATCATGTCATCTGCAAACAATGATAACTTAACTTCTTCTTTTCCTATCTTTACCCCTTTTATTTCTCTTTCTTGCCTAATTGCTCTGGCTAGTACTTCCAGTACTATATTAAATAGGAGTGGTGATAAAGGACATCCTTGTCTTGTGCCTGATTTTAAAGTAAAGGCTTTCAATTTTTGGCCATTTAGTATGATGCTGGCTGTTGGTTTGTCATAAATGGCCTTTATTATATTGAGGTAAAGACCATCTATTCCAATTTTCTGTAAAGTTTTTATCATGAATAAATGTTGGACCTTATCGAAGGCTTTTTCTGCATCTATAGAAATGATCATGTGATTCTTATTTTTGGCTTTATTGATATGGTGGATTACATTTATTGATTTGTGTATGTTGAACCATCCTTGCATTCCTGGGATGAATCCCACTTGGTCATGGTGTATAATCTTCTTGATGATTTGCTGGATCCTATTTGCCAATATTTTATTGAGGATTTTTGCATCTGTGTTCATTAGGGAGATCGGTCTATAGTTCTCTTTTTCAGTTGGGTCTTTCTCAGGTTTTGGTACTAGAGTAATATTTGCTTCCAGGAATGACTTAGGAAGGATTGCTTCCCTCTCAATTTCATTGAATAGTTTGAGGAGTGTCGGCATTAGGTCTTCTTTGTATTTCTTGTAGAATTCTGCAGTGAATCCATCTGGGCCTGGGCTCTTCTTGGTGGGTAAGGACTTAATTACATTTTCGATTTCATTAACAGAGATTGGGTTATTCAACAGTTTTACATCCTCTTGATCTAGCTTTGGCACTTCATATGCTTCTAAGAATCTGTCTATTTCTTCTGTGTTATCAAACTTTTGAGAGTAGAGGTTTTCGAAATAGGTGTTGATGATCTTCTGTATTTCTATTGGGTCTGTAGTGATTTCTCCTTTTTCATTTCTTATTGCATGAATTTGAGCTTTTTCTTCCCTTTTTTTTTAATAAGGTTGGCTAGGGGCTTATCGATTTTATTTGTTCTTTCAAAGAACCAACTCTTTGATTCGTTGATTCTTTGGATTGTTTTCTTAGTCTCTATTGCATTGATTTCTGCTCTGATTTTTATAATTTCCTCTCTTCTTTTGGCTTTGGGCTTGACTTGCTCTTCTTTTTCTAGCTGTTTGAGGTGTAGCATCAGGTTATTTATTTGTATTCGTTCTGTTTTCCTGATGTGGGAACTCAGTGCAATAAATTTTCCTCTCAGGATGGCTTTCATTGCATCCCACAGATTCTGGTAAGTTGTATCTGCATTTTCATTTTCTTTTAGGTATTGTTTAATTTCTTCTTTAATTTCTTCTGTGACCCACTGATTGCTCAAGAATGTGTTATTCAGTTTCCATGTGTTTGTGGGATTTTTGCAGTATCTTTTATCATTAATTTCTAATTTCAGAGCACTATGATCCGATAACACGCAAGGGATGATTTCAGCTCTTTTGCACTTGTTTAAATATGTTCTGTGAGCTAATATATGGTCTATTTTAGAAAATGATCCATGTACTGCTGAGAAGAATGTGTATTCTGATGTTGTTGGGTGGAACATTCTGTGTATGTCTATCAAACCCATTTGTTCACAGGTATGATTCAGTTCTGTTATTTCTTTGCTCATTTTCTGTCTGGTTGATCTGTCCCTTGGTGTCAATGGCGTATTAAGGTCTCCTGTTACAATTGTGTTACTGGTAATTTGAGTTTTCATTTCTGTTAATAATTGTTTTATATAACTGGGTGCTCTGGAGTTTGGTGCGTATATATTTAAGATAGTTATCTCTTCCTCTTGGAGTTTTCCCCTTACGAGTATGTAGTGACCTTCTTTATCCTTTATGGTCATTGTTGGTTTAAAGTTCACGTTGTCTGCAAACAGAATGGCTACTCCTGCCTTTTTTTTGGATTCCTGCTGCATGAAGAATTGTTTTCCATCCTTTGACTTTCAGTCTGTGAGTATCCTTCTGGGTTAGATGGGTTTCCTGTAAACAGCATATGGTTGGATTTTGTTTCTTGATCCATTCTGCTAGTCTGTTTCTTTTGATTGGTGCATTGAGACCATTTACATTAATGGTTATTACTGTTAAATGCTGGTTAATTGTAGGAATCTTATCTCTCTGCTGTTGCATCTTTATCTTTCTGTTCTGTTCAATTATTTGCTTTGCTTAGTGGTTTTTTCCTTTGTGTATCTAAACTGTCTTTCAATATTTTTTGCAGGGTTGGTTTGGTGTTCATGAAGTTCTTCAGCTGTTCTTTGTCATGGAAGTATCGTATTTCACCATCTATTTTGAATGATAGTTTTGCAGGATATATCAGTCTAGGTTGGAAATCATTTTGCTTTAGGATCTGGAATACTTCACTCCATGCTCTTCTTGACTTTATTGTTTGTGCTGAGAAGTCTGCTGTGATTCTGATAGGTTTTCCTTTATAAGTGATCTGTCTTTTCTCTCTGACAGCTTTTAATAATCTATTCTTGTGTTGGATTTCTGGGATGGTGATTATTATATGTCTGGGTGTAGTTTTATTTTGGTTATGACTATTTGGAGTTCTATATGCTTCACTGATCCTGATGTCAGTTTCTGATCTCATGCTTGGGAAATTTTCAGCTATTACTTCTCTAAATATCCTCTTGATATCCTTTATGTTGTCTCCTTCTTTTTCATTAATCCCTATCATTCTTATGTTATTCTTCTTTGCATCATCTTGCAGTTGTTGAATTGTTGTTTCCTGATTCCTTGTTATTTTTAAAAGATCTTTCCTTTCCTGTTCACTAGCTGCAATCCTGTCTTCAAGGTCTGAAATTCTATCTTCACTTTCATTAAGGCAGTTTTTACAACTTTCAGTGGAGTTTTTTATTTCCTGTATATCTCTGTGCATCTGCATTATGTATTCTATTTGTTTCTTATATTGCTCGTCTAGGGATTCTATCTTTTTGTTTAGTTCCTCCAATTTTTTATCTGTGTTTTCTTTAGATATATTTAGAATCTCTTTCATTTCTTTTATCATTTCTTCTTTTATCTGGGAGATTATTTCGAGTTTGAATTTCTTTAAAGCTTCCTGGAGTTGCTTGTCAATTTCAGTAGCTATTGTGTCTGATATATGAGGTGGTTGGGATATATTTTCTTCTAAATACATTCCTCCTAGGGTTTCCTGAGATGGGCTGGAGGTTTGAGGTTGTAATTTAGTCTTTCGTTTTGTCATTTTCCTATATTTCTGTGTTTCAAGTGTTATTTGAAAGCTTCCTCAGGACCTGTTGAAAATCCCCTTCTATTTTGCAGCTACTGAGACTCTGGCCCCATGCTACCCCAAGCCATTGGGCCTGCAGAACCAATGGCCCTCCTCTGCTTGTTCAGAACTCCACAGTTCCAGACAAGCTGGGCCTCAGGGACACTGTGCGCCCACCTGCCCCTTGGAAGCTCCACAGCTCTTCAATCGCAGCCGGGCTAGGGTACTCACCACAGGCCGCGGTGCCTCAGGAGCCTGTGATCCCTCCCTGCTTGCAGAGATATCCACAGTCCTCCAGACAAAGGAAGGCGCGGCAGCAAAACAGGCTGGGCTCGGGGGATAGTGTGGGCCCGCCCACCCATCAGGAGCTCAGCAGACCTCCAAGTGCAGCCGGGATGGGGAGGCGGATGTAGTGGCCTCTAACCCACTGCTCCACTTCACTGCACCCGGAAGCCTGGGGGTCCGGAACAGTCTGAGATTTGGGCAGAATGTGCTGAGCACTCACCACAGGCCGAGGTGCCTCAGGAACCTGCGATCCCTCCCTGCTTGCAGAGATATTCCATCCTCCAGACAAAGGAAGGGGCTTCTGCAGGCACTCCAGATCCACCCAGCTCCTCCTCTGCACACTCGGGCGATCGGATCTTAGGGGTGTTATATAGTTAAATGAGCTGTTAGGGTGGAGGCCTGGTTGAAAGAGGGGGTTATGACCTGGAAGGGTACCAAATAAAACTTTCCTTTAAATTGTACATGTCTGGTATTTTGTTCCAGCGATGAAAAAGTAACTGAGACACCCTATACGAAGAGGTTGGACTGCAATGCTGATTGAAAGAATAGGCTGTAGGCTTCATTTGAAATTTGGCTCTTTGAGTTTATTTGCTGAGACACTGGGCAAATTCAAAATTTTTCTGAGCCCTGGTTACCTCATTGTTAAAATGTGGTTAATAATTATTTCATTCTTGCAAGACTTTGGTAAAGATTAAATTAGATAATACATATAAAGCATTTAGCTCAGTGCTAACATTATAGAAAGAAAAATCAACCCTTATCATCTCACAGTCAGTTAAGGCAGATTCTAAAACTGAATGTTGTCAGGCTGACCATACAATAGGTAAAAAGTATTTCTTAATATCCTAACACTTTCTGCACTTCTCTTCCCCATAGAATTCTAGGCAATTCCTTAGCTGCTACCTCTTCCTCTTCTTCCTCTTCTTCCTCTTCTTCTTCTTCTTCTTCTTCTTCTTCTTCTTCTTCTTCTTCTTCTTCTTCTGGGAATCAAACTCACAACCTGATACTTGCCAGGCAAGTGCTGAGCTAAATCCTTAGTGGTCCTTCACATTTATTATGTAGTTTTCTTCCAATGAGCAGGGAAGGTTCTGGTGAATATCCATCTTCTTTTCATAAAGATTTACCTGTTTTTATCTGCATCATTATCTTTACCTGAGTTCAGCAAGGTTTAGTGTTCTTCAGGCCTTAACAGCAGCTAAAGGAATAGAGAGAAAACAAGCAGGCTCAGCAGGGAGCACTGGCAGGTGAACCAGCAGGTGAACCAGGGATTCTTATCTCTAAATAGACCTTTACCCTCTTCCTTTCCTCCTTTCCCCTATCCCAGTTGTTCTTTCCTTTTAAGCACATTCTTTCCTTTCCCTTTCACAATATCTACTGCACATTTTGGATCTTATTTACTCTTTTAGTTTTTTACACTATATATTTTCATGCCTGTATGTTGTAATCTGAACAATTATTTGAAGATAATACAATATATTAATCAATGTTAATCTATTATTTTGTTTTGAAATTCTATATCATTTTTTTCTTTTTCTTAATAAAAAATAAATAAATAGACCTTTGGTCTCCTGAGATGATTAGCAAACAAGAGATGATTGGTGTCAAGGTCAAGAGAGTCAAAATTATTTTGTATCACGTTTCCTTGTCAAAGAATCTCAGTGGATATCAGCATATTAGAGAGTCTGAGAAGTATTTCAGAATGGCCTGTTTTTCTTTGCTTCTCTCATGGCACTAGTCAACACATTCTGCTGACCAACAACACTTTGGGAGGCATTGCCTATTAACTCAGAACTAGGGAATGAAATATGCAGAAGGTACAAATTTTAGGGTATTACTGAACCATGATAAAACTGATGGAAGAAAATGAGATTAATATTTATTGAGAGCCAATTATGTGTGTGACAGAATTTGTGGGAACTGCTTTTAAAATGTTTGCTCATTCTCAATATGTTAAAGTAATAGTTTTTTAAATGGGAGGGATACTAACAGTGCTTTACCAAAGAATTTCATGGCATATGTTACTTTTTCTAAAGTGGGGACACAAAAGTCTTTAAAAATGAAGAACTTTGATTACTCATACAGCCCATATGCATGCCTAGAAGTACTGCTTTTGCACTACACTGAGAAATTTGGAGTTGTGAAATCTCTGTCCTCAATTCCCGGAAAGATAGCATGATACACAGGGCTATGAACAAGTCTAGGATGGCTACTTACTGGGTATATAACCTTGAGTAATGTACTCTTCTCAGCTGATATACATACCAAGAAAAAAGTAAAGAGAAAGAGAGAAACAGAAAGTCAATTCCTTAATCTGCTTAGCTTATCTTTATAGCCATTAATCAAAATATATCGTCTTGCACAAGTGTTAGCGTAGGTGCTGTGGGCACCACCAAGGAGCATGGACAATTTCTCCCTTCAACACCTGCTAATTGTTATTTTATATGCTGCCATACTATGGATGTCTGCATGTTTCTATGTGATGTATTTCATAACATAAGTATATAGAAATATTTTATAAAATAGTGGTTTATGTACTATTAAAGGAAAGAACTACATTTTATTCCCCATCACATCTATCTAGCCTAGCATTGTGCCAGGTACATGCTGTTTAGTATGTCTTGTGAAATAAATGGAAAGAGTAATGGTAAATTTCTCTACAATTATACTCATTTTATACAATCTTATATAACAAAAGTGACTTAATAATAGGATATTTTGTACTGGGAGAACAATCCAGGATGGATTCAGACTGAGATTTTTGAAGTCCAGGACTAAATTTGTGCTTTCACAAATAACCTATACTGACCACTTAGTTTTAACTGAAATGGGCACCAGAAACTTCACTAACAAGTCTGCCATGTTAGAGATAATCATCACTTTATGTTCTTTTACAAGCAACTTAAATTTCCCTTAAAATATTAAATTGAATGTTAATGGTATTTCTTTTTTCTCTTTGCTGTTTTTCACTCTTGTATAATAATATATAAAACGTTATCTCTTTTCTTCCTCTGAAATGTTTATATGTCATTCAGAGCAAAGCATTGAGAGGAGAAACTAGGGTCAGGTAATAGAAAATACTATGCACTAACAGGTATTAATTTTATGATGAATAACAGATTTTATTTTCAGTTCTATACGTGAGCAGACACAAAAATAATGGGTAAAGATAAGTGATTTCTCCTTTTTGGTACCTATTTATCCACCTTGAAAAGAAGGCTGAATAGTGGGAAAGATACTTTTTCATACTTATGTGAATAGAAATAGGACAAAAAGAGTTAGAGATTGTAAAATGTTGTGGGCTGTGTTGTGTGTGTTTTTAAGTAAAGGTAACAGACTTAGAGCCATGAATGTTCATGGCGACCAGGTGATCTGTCAGTCACTCACGTTCCTCGTGTCATCTTCTGCTCTCACCTTCTTTCCCTTTATAACATTTTTTCTACTTCGCTCTCTTGTTGTAAGTAAGTATATGTTGGTAATCAGGCTGACAGTAAGGAAGACCACCAAGCTGTACTCTTCTAAGAAAGGAAGCCCCTTGCCTCAATCTTTCCTTGATCTCTCCTTCAACCCTACTCACTGAGATATGCAGAGCTGGCTAGATTGAAACAGATGTTCCCATAATTGGCTAAAAGAATGTGATCGAGTCTGGCTGAGAAGCCAGTGCCTCTCATTACAGCACATGAGTGAGAACTGCCCTCCCACGCCCACACACATACCGATAGCTGGAATGGGGCTTCGGCAGGAGCGTGTGCGATTCCAGAGCTATGACATGAGATGAAATGACATCTCAGCTGAGGCAAATGCAACTCAATAAGAATTACATCTTCCTGGCAGTAAAGGTGCCAGTCTCACACAATCAGACTATCTAATTGAGAACCTTTGTGCCTGTTACAAAATGGCTCTGTTTCTGGTTATAGCCAATGCCTGCAATTGCTTTTCCCATGTACTCTGCCATGACCCCCCACCCTCCTCCATGACTGATACCAATACTCAGGATTGAGTATTGGACTCAGGGTTTTTTGTTCTACAGAGAACAGTGGTCATCCTAGAATTCCTTAACTGCAGAACTTTCTGCCTTTATTTTGCACCTGTGTGCCATATGGCTGGGTGGGAGACCTGAAACCTCCTTGGGAGGTTTCAGTACTTTAGTATGGTATTTACTACAACAGTATTTTTATTAATTTAAATATGACAAATTTCCTACACATTCAACACATGGAAATGCTCTCTCATTTCTATCTGAGATCACAAAGGGGAGTGTCTTTAAGCTGCTGTAACAAAGTAACACATTGGCTGACTATATACAACACAAATACATCTCTTAACGTTCTAGTGGTTGGAAGTCCAAGATCAGGGTGCCCATGTGGACTGTGGTGAGGACTCTTTTCTGTACTGGATATTGCTGATTTCTCATTGCATATTCACAGAGTGGGAGGAGATCTGGAGCATGGATGTCTTATATGGCCACTAATCTTAGTCTGTAAGACTCTACCCTCAGAACGTAATCAATTCCCAAAGACCCACCTTCTAATACCACCACATCAGGGACTATACTTCAACATATGAATTTTAAGGGACACAAACAGTGATAACAGAGGGATGTGTGCAAGGAATAAGGCGTGTGCTCTCTTCTAGGAATGGAATTCCACTGTGGAGGAGCTGAAGGGCAAGGCCCTGGCACTTCTGCTGTCAAAGGACTGTGTGGAGAGAGAACAGCTACAGCTCTCTAACCAGAAACTGAATCGGCTTCAAGATGAGCTTGGGCAACTCATAATGGACAGGAAGATCCAGTTACAAAAGGCAAATGACTTTTTTAGCAGTGCTAACAAGGTCAGTATAAAGTCTAATTCACCATGTTATACAGTCATTCTTGCACACCAGTAAGAGAATCATTACGTCTACAGGCTGGAGCCGTCACAGAAGTCAGCGCTCCATGCAGAATATCAAAGTAGGCAGAACCAAAACAGAACTTTTAGAACATCTTCCTCTTATGGCCATTATTTGGTTCTCAAAACTATGAGACTCTGCGTGGACATGTAAAGTTTTCCTTAAAACAATAAGCTCGTGAGGGTTTTATTTAAAGCTGGCATTGGTCTTTTGTGGGGGACTTGTGCTCCCATGGTGGTATCTCTCACAGAGGGAGGGAATTATAAAATACATTGAGGTTTAAAGAAATACCTTAAGCACTTTACTAAAAAGCCTTCGTTCTTTTTAAAAAGTCCTCTTTGATTTATCAGGTAGAGATACACGAGTATTACTAGCCTTCTGCATGCAAGCCTGAAGGCCAGAAGTGGTGGCTGGCTCACGGATATGCCCTGGCCCTGCTTTTTCACATCAGATGAGTGGCACTCTTGTGGCTGTTGTCTGGGGCTTGAGTTCCAGAACTGCTCTTCTCCTCCTTGTGGATTCATTTACGTTTTTGAGGAGCGGGGATATTAGAGATTGAACCCAGGGCCTTGGCCCTGAGCTGTATCTCCAGCCTGTTTTACTTTTTTTTTTTTTAAATCTTGAAACAGGGATTCACTAGGTTGGTAAGTGCTCCAGGCTGCGCACAAACTTGCAGCACAGCAAGTTCAAGGAGTGCTACCATGAGCCACCAGGCCTGGCTGTTTGCTGTTGAATGCTGCAGATGGTTCCTGCTCGTGGCAGAATTCCCTGTTCACTGCTCTGGGGTAGGGCTCAGTATAGGAACCTGGTGATCTTTGAAAATCGTTCTGCCTTACCTGTGTGTGTGTGTGTGTGTGTGTGTGTGTGTCTGTGTGTCTTGTTGTTGTTTTGTTTTTAGACACAGTCTCACTATGTAGCTGACCTTGAGCTCAGCACTCCTCCTGTCTCTGCCTTCCTAGCAATGGGACTGTAAGCACGCAGCACCACACCCCGCACCAACGTACTATCTACTTTCAAATTGCTGTGTTGGAATTTTTTAATGAGTTAAATTTTACCAATTCAAAAACAAACAGTGTGATAGGCAATAACTAAAGAAACCCTTAGAAGTTAGGTATGCAGTGATCTGATGTCACATCGGCACTACGATGTCCTATGAAGAGTGATTTAATTTTGAACATTTTTATTAATACTTTTTGAAAGGACGAATAGTAACATTCTAAACTGAGGAGCTAAAATTATAGTTAAAATGTTAAAGAAATATTTACTGTTCAATTATTTCTTGTCTTTTTTTAAGAGAGGAAACAGATATAGCATATTACTGGAGATACTGAACAAATAGATGTTAAATGTTTCGTCATGAAAATCATCAGTCATATTTTTTTGAATAAGAGCTATTTATTTTTTTTCCAGGAGATTAAAAAATTTATTGAAAGTATGTGCAACAAAATCAACCAATTTTTTTTTATTTAAAAGGAAAAAGAGAAAAAAAAAAGCAGAACAAAACAAAACAGTGTAAGGGTACAAGTAATTCAGAACTACAAAAAAAAAAAAACCAGTAAGCTATCACCAGTTAATAGATTACTCGCTATCATCTTAGAAACGGTGTCTCAGGTCACAGGATCAAAGCACACAAAGCGAACATTCAAACAGTGAGACTGCAAGCAGTTGTGTTCAGTAATCCAATAAAAAATATTAATATGGTCTTCTATGTAACACACCTAAACACCCTTGCTGTTGTATCCTTCAGGGCACTTTTCTTTCCCTCAATAAGAGCTATTTAAATTTACCTCACACATTCACCTTACAGAATGAATGAATCATTTGCAAATAAATTATTATTATTTGCAGGGAAAATAGTTATGGAACCATATTGTTTATAGTGCAAAGCTTATAGCTTACAACCTTCCAAGTACAGAAAGACAGAATTTCTCTTCCTCTCTCTTTCATTCTTATGCTTTGCCTTTTCTGAATATCATCTGGTACTTTGCCAGGGAGATTTTTTTCCTTTGATTGTTATTCCTGGACCCTGAAGGAGAAGGAGTATCTCATAAACGTTAAAGAAAAAGAAAGGGGAGGAGAAGGGAGAGAAGAGTGGTTACTTTCTCAAACTCATACATTACTGCAAGTCAGATCTTGTAAAGGAGAATTCATATTTCTTAACCTCAAAGACTCAATTTCTAGTGTTCTGTTTCATTTGTTGAAAGCCATGGCATTTTAATGTCAAATTAGTGCAGCACTAACTTTACTATAGTTTTGTATATAGGCAAGCAGCATCCACAGAGATAGGAACCACCCCCATCAAGGGAATAATCCCCAACTGTAAAGCTAAGAATTCAGTGTGAAAGATGACGTGTATACTTACCTTAGAGAAAGCAGAAGCCAGAGATTAAAAAGTGATGTTTACTCATCACTCTCCAAATGAATTCTTCACTATATTATTAATGGCAATAAATAATGAAATTATACAACGGGAAAATTCATTTCAGTTAGAGTGAAACTCCTCTTTTGTACAAGATATTTTTATTTTTAATTTATATTGTGGAGCCTCCAAATTTTACAAAATCTTACCATTTTACCAATTTTTTTCTATAACACTCATGAATAAGTAAAGAGCTAGGTTGCAAAAATTAATAAAATATCAAAATCCCATAAACCATTTTTTTCTAGGCTAAATTTTCTGTTTATCCTAGGGAAGGTGTATTTTTAGTTTATGTCATCTATCATTTACCTCTGAAGCACTAAGTTATCCTCTTGAAATTTCATTTTGTTTTACCTTGAGGGTGCTTGGGGTTCCTGCTAGGAGCAAGCCCCGGCTCGGAGCACTGTGAGAGGTCTGAAATTATACCTGACCCTCCAGCCAGCATGTTAGCTTATCACAGTTTCATGGATGCTGAAAGAGGACACGTACTCCTGGGTCAGAGTTGAAAGCAGCACCGCGTGACAGCATGCCACGTCTTTCCCCAGGGGACTGCAGGTGGACCCAGGTGAAATATTAATTCCCCTGTACCTGCAGAGTGTGGCGTGCAGATGAGGGATACCCCGCTCCCTCTGCTCCAGGACCTGCTGTTTTATACTATGCAGTCAGCATGCCTCTAGTACTCAACTTGAAGGCTGCTGGCTGCAGATTAGACACTGAGAAGTGGCCCTGATTAGAACGGGCCAGAGTCATGCAGTCTTTGTGGACAGTAAAATGTGTTGCAGTACCAGGAACCCATGAAAGACTTGGCCATCACACACAAATCTAGATGTTAGCCCTGTGAGGATAATAGAGTAAGTGCTTTAAAAAAAAAAAAAAGTTGGTTCCTAAAAAACCAACTCTACTCTTATAGGTGGGATTTTTTTCAGCAAACAACTTCTTATTTCAAATTTGTTGACACTAGATCAACATCCTCTTTCAATTTCTGTGTCAAATGACTATATGAAAAAATAGGTCAGTGTCATGGGTATATATAAATGAGAAAATGGGACTGCTTGAAAGTCTGCTCAATAAAAAGTGAAAGTTGGTATTTAAAATTTTTTTTTTACTTTTTTTGAATTTTGTTAAAGTAGAAAGGGCTGCTAAAAAAATAGGGATGAATTTCAAAGCTTAACTGCAGAGGGGTCTATTACTTGTAAATTTTAATATCATATATTACTTTACTCAGATTTTTATTATGTATTTCTGGTTATAATCACTTAGATGTCTCCTTTTTACCTTTTCCTTTTTATTTTCGTTCATTCCTATGTCTGCTAACTCTATGTATAGATAAATGATTTCTTGTATTGAAGTCATTGAATAAATAGTATGGCAAATTCATGAGAATAATGTTCTTTCTTCTTTAGATAGTCATCTATTTAGTACATATTTAAGCAAGTGCTGTGTCAAACACTGCTTTACATTCTGGCGATACATCAGAGAACAAAATATACACACAATCTATAAGCCAAGAAAATACTGGTTCAGTATTTTCCAACTTGTGAAATTCAACAAAAGTAATTATCACCTAACGGCCCACGGACCACAGTTCCTCTAATACCTTGGGCCATGACTTCAGGGGTGCAATTGATTGCTTTTTAATCCAGCTAGGATTTGAGCATGATCATCCAAGGCTCATGACCCTATCCTAACCTAGGGAAATATCAGCCACATGGGACTTGAGATACAGCTGTTTGACCTAGACTGAGCAGCAGGTGGCGATGTCGAGATGCAAGCCAGAGGATCTCGATGTTTGTCATAAACCAGCCAGCTCAAGTGGCAATTGAGCCAGGTTTCTCCAGAATCTAACATACTTCCTGCTCCTTTTAAAAACCTATTTGTTAAATCAAATTGCAACAAGTATGAGTAAAAGTTAGTGATGAACACTGGATGAGAACAGAGTTGCTCTGAAAACCAGATGTTGCTGTGAGTTACAAGGATTGCAACAAGTATGAGTAAAAGTTAGTGATGAACACTGGATGAGAACAGAGTTGCTCTGATAACCAGATGTTGCTGTGAGTTACAAGAACAAGGCATAAAATTCAAACACAGAAGCTGTTACCAAAAATCATCTTCACTTCCCCAATTTTCACCATCATAATTATGAATTATTGTTGTATTTGTAGTTTATTCATGAAAAAAACCTCTGGTTCATATTGATTAGCCTCTTAAATATATTTATGGTTATTTAGGGAATAGTTTAAACCAAATAGAGATAAATATAATATCTCTCAAGAACAGCAGGGCATGAGTCTGTATTTATGCAGTAACTATGACTAATGTGCAGCTGTCAGCATGGTGGATGGGTCTGAAAGTTTCCTGTCCCATGAAGTCATGCTTCTGTGACCAACCACGTCATTTCACAGGGGAAAACAAGCAGAGGAGACTAGAGTCAAATCCATTTGATAAACAGAGTCTGACTCTGGGGTGGCCACATGAAACAAGTTTGGGGCAACTCCCAGCGTGCACACTACAAAACTTATTATGC